AAAAAAAAAAAAAAAAAAGAAAGGATGAGAGATGAGTGATTCTTCCTGTCCCAGATACATTTCACTACAGCTCACTTTTAAATTGACATACACATGGAGATAGAGTACACTTTTAAACAGAACTAAAACATTTCCAACTATGACCCATACAGCTTTTGCTTAAAATAAGTTAACCCTGAGGTCACCAGTTAATATTCAAAAAAAGGTCCCCAGAACTCCAAATGTCCATCTGCAGAATCTGATCTGACAACTAGGTCAAAGCCACTCTATAGCAGTGGAAATGAAAAGCCATTCTTTAAACCACCCTAAGCCCTTCTTTCCCCACATTCTGAGCCCCTCTTTCTCTGATCACACTGAGCCTGTCTACTCCCCAATGCTGAGCCCTTCTCTCTCGCCCCATGTTCTAAGCCTCCCTCTCTCCCCACTACACTCTGAACCTGTCTCTCTCCCCTACAGAGAAAGAGAGCCCTTCTCTCTTCCCCTATACTCTGAGCCTTCTCTGTCCCCCCTCCACTCAGAACCCATCTCTCTTCCCCCTCCCCCGCACGCTGAGCTCCTTTCTCTCCCCTGTACTTTGAGTCCCTTTCTCTTCCCCTACCCCCCCTCCCACACACACTCTGTGGCCCTCCTTTGCTCTTTCTTCTCCCCATGTTAACTGTCTTGTGTCTTTTCTTGCCAGCAGAGACAGTTCACACTGATGTAGGCACTATGTTTCCCAGGACAACAGCAGGGATCTCTGGGTTTGGGGCTGCTTTCCTGTACCATAGTCATCTGCAGGAGGAGTCTGGGCACAGTATTTCCTCAGCTCCTTCCCTCCCTTCCTGGTCCTAGGTGCTGAGCTCCTGTCCAGGCCTGACTCACCACATCAAAAAAGTCTTTCTGGGGCGGTGCCTAAGGTTCAGTGGGTAGGGCACCATTCTCATATACTGAGGGTGGCAGGTTTGAACCTGGCCTCGGCCAAACTGTAACAAAAAAATAGCCAGGCATTGTGGCAGTCACCTGTAGTCCCAACTACTCGGGAGGCTGAAGCAAAAAAATCGCCTAAGCCCAGGACTTGGAGGTTGCTATGAGTTGTGATGCCAGGGCACTCTGTCGAGGGCAGTGGAGTGAGACTGTCTCTTAAAAAAAAGTTTTTCTCATCTTCCCAGACAAGAAGAGATCTTTTCACCTAGGTTGTAAAGAGCAATTGAACTTGATTGTGGGGCCAGAGCAGTAGGACAGCACTGGCCTGCACAGGCCCCAGGCTGGCAGTTTCCTGTGAAATCTATAAACCAGCCCCCCTGCTTTGCATGAGCACAGAAGAGCCAAGGGCAGCTGGGGTGCTGGTGTCAGGTAGGCCCAAGGCTACAGGAATTCCTGCTGGGGCATCATTACTGGCATCTTGGGATGACCTCTCTGAAATTGATGTCATCCCACCCACTCTGCACTGAAACAGACATACTTCTCTGCTCTGGAGTTTGAGCCCTATAGGGCAGGAGAAGTGGGAGGTTCAGTGAGGGTTGCGGAGTGCTCAGCGTTTGATGCCTGGGTCTTTCTGGCTATGACCTAAATCTCACACAGGTGGCTGTAGAGCAAGGGCCATCAAGTGGGGTTGGTAGATGGGTTGGTCGATGGCCATGCACCCCTATGTCAGAATAACAGGGTTATAAGTGAGGCTCACTAATCATAAAACTGTGGCTTCTGGCCAGGTGAGTTGGCTTACACCTGTAATCCTAGCACTTGGGAGGCCGAGGAGGGTGGATAGCCTGAGCTAACAGGTTCGAGACCATCCTGAGCCAGAGTGAGACCTTGTCTCTAAAAATAGCTGGGTGCTGTGGTGGGCGCCTGTAGCCCCAGCTACTTGGGAGGCTGAGACAAGAGAATCAACTTGAGCCTAAGAGTTTGAGGTTGCTGTGAGCTGGGATGCCACAGCACTCTACCAAGGGTGACAAAGTGAGACTCTGTCTCCCAAAAAGATAAAAGTGAAAAAAATAAACTGTGACTTCTGCCCTCCTTCCTTCTCAGGTGTATTTTCAGAGCAGCCTGGAGGCCGGGGTGAAGAGTTCTTAAACACCTTGTTGTCTGTGCCTAACCTAGCTCCACCCTGGGCCCTGGGCCTC